TGAAGGCAGACTAAGTATTTTTGGTTGTTTGTAATTTCAAATTTATCGTTAATATATAATATCTGTAGTTTTTTTTTAAGTTTTGCCGACTAATTTGATATAAAATGAAAATAGAAAAATTGTTGCGTTTCAAGTATCGTTTTTGACATTTCGCAGTAAAATCTCTCCGAAATACGAAATTGTCTTCGGTCAACGTCGTTATAGATAAAAAGATGCGAACTGCGACGTAGTATGCTGTACCCTTTACATGTAACCATGCTTCGACATTATTCATAATAATAAAAATAAAAATAGAGCGCGATTCGCTAAATGTCGGCGCGCGCGATGGAGAGTGGCAGAACAAAATTAAATCAGTCGTCTGTTCGGTGTATATCGGTTGCTGCACTATATTTCGGGCTCGTCGCTTCGCGTCAGACATTCGAAACGCTTCGGATAAAAATTTCAGAAGCACGAGCGACGACGCCGCGATTTGTCTGTTTTCGCAACGAAATAGGGACGATTCAATTTCGAAAAACCTTTACCGCGAGCGAAATAAACGAAGCAAAGACTTGTACGACATGCAGTACTGTCGAAATAGATACGTGGATAGCACGCAATCAGAAATTGAATAATTAGAGCCTTGAATGTCTGTGATTTAAATAACTTTTTGTACATACACACATATGTGCAAGCGTATAATAATTATTATACAATAAAAATAATATTATGTAATTACAAAAAAAAAGTTATTTTACTTGCTTGTCCCTTCGAAATTTACCTGTTATACACATTTTTTATTTATAATTTATAATTTAGAAGAATAGAATCTCTTTCTGAAATATTAGCTCATTAAATGTCTCACAGCCAAGCAGAGTCAGTATATATTTTTATCGAAACGTTTATACCGTTTGCCGCCACTGCCTTTTCCGAAAATTCAGGCCAGGAACATAAATTCCATTTCTCAAATAATTTTCTAGTGGGCTCGACGAGAGACGCTTTCATATGAAAATCTCACGGCTGTCAGATCGTCGTAAAAATTCATGTCACCGGGATGAACGGTGGCGTTAAAAACAACCCAATATTTTCAACGCGCCGCGCGTTTGTCCCAGCGATTCTCTATATCCACAGGGAGCACACCAAATTTGCGCAGGCGGACGAGTGCGCCGAATGAAAGCTAGAACGATAAAGCGTTCGCCGGACTACTACAAAAGCAGCGTAAAAGTTCCGTCCGGCGGGACTTAAAAAAAGCGTTCTATTCTAAATTTTCGAAATAAACGCGGCAGTAAATGCTGCGCGCTCTTGTAGGACTCCGGATATTTTAACATCTGTTCGCAATGAAACATCCTTTGCATCTCCGCGAAAGAAAGTGCCACTTAAACGCGGTTACTCCTTTCTCCTTCCACCCCTCTTTTTTTCTCTTTCCTCTCTCTTTCTCTCTCTCTCTCTCTCTCTCTCTCTCTCTCTCTCTCTCTCTCTCTCTCTTACACCACTTCATTATAAATAAATTATCTTCAGCTTCTTGTGGCGTTATAGTGATAAATTAACGGCGGAGAGATATGACGAGAATCAAGGTAGAAGAGCTTTGCACGTGTGTGCACGGAAAATATTTACATAAAACAGGAAATATCCGAGACATAATTTAAAAGTGGCAAGGTATACCACTTTTAAACTTTTACGAGAAAAAAACTATCACAATCAAATTTTACAAAAATATTAATACACTCAGCTCTCTTTTTATACGGTAGATACGTCCCGCGTGAGAATAAATCGCATTATTTATGGAAATTAATTTATCATTAGAAATTAAAATTAATGTCTATGTTACATGTACATGAGAAATTAGAACCATTTTTTAAAAACCCGCGTTATTTAAAAAAACTGTATAAAAAATATAGTATGTAATGAGGATAATGAGTCTTGAAAAGATCCTCATTTATTTCTCCCGCGCTATTTTTTCTGCATTTCTTGCTCTCGAAAATGGCGAGGACTTTCTACGGTTTTCCCTCTGACCGATCAATCGTCAGTGAGCGCATTTTCGGATCGTTTACGTTCTACAATTCTACATTGGGCGAAGAGGAAAGCACCACTCGACATTTCGGCGCGATAAATGGGGCGACCGGACACAGGGAAAATACCATCTCAATTTGATTCGATTAAACAGGAAATAGGCAGCGTGTATTTCCAATCTATGTGTGGTATATATTTGCAATTGATTAATCGCCGTACGGCCCGGCCGCGAAGCCAAATTGTCTAAACGCCGGAATCTATTTTTCCAACGGGCGTGCGAATCGCCGATTACCGGGCCCGCCGTCCAAACGCTGAAAATAACGATCGTCGAAGCGCGCATACAAAACATGCGGTCGTCGTGTATGCCCACGAAAATAGTAATAATTTAATTAAAAATTTTGTCTATATTAGACACATCTCAATCGATATAGATATATCCGCATCGCTTTGACACGCGACGACGCGATAAATGATAAAGCCATCAACAGACAAAGTTTCCATTTTCATCACGAAACTGATCCGTCTTACGGTGTAATACATGCGTTTTTACGGCGCATAAGTAAGGACAATATAAAGAAACTCTCAAATAAAAAGTCGCGAAATTGTAAGCCGCAAGTTACGCAATATCGTTCTAGGTAAAACTCTCTTTTAAAAAGGCGTGACTGGCACTTCTTTTTTTTTACGATTCACCGACATGCGCCAGGTACAAGATACATTTTTCAGGAAAGTGCCTGGCACGGCGCGCTAAAAGAAATCGAAAAGATAAGTCGTAAAAATGATATTTATTACTTCTAATAGCCGCGCGTTATGAATATTTCAAACTCGAAAGTAGAATGATGTAGGTAATGAATATGCACCGAGAAATGCACGAAGTATCCGAGTGCGCATCGAACAATGTTTTAAACTCAAGATAGATTTTGTTAGTGCATATTTACATTACACTTATCATTCAATACAGTTTTACTTTGACCCCTTAGCTTTAAACGCTTCTAATGATTCAGAATTATAGTTTTTCTTCATTTTCATTTCTTTTCTCCCTTTTTTTTATTTGTTCGTTCCCAAACTCAATAAATATTCGCTAAGTTGAGACAAGCGTCACATCATGCGCGGACACGATAACGCATGTTGGCGTAACAATGTTCTAATTGTGCGTGACAATACAATGTTAAACCCATTACACGTAAATGCAGCGCATTTGAATTTGTCGAATATTTGACAAGTGAACGCATTGTTTGGAACCGGCTCCGCGCGCATTCGCGAAAGTCATAAATTCCGCTGACAATTAGAGCGCAAACGCATACTGTCTATTCGAAATATGTATACATGCATAAATACACATGTATAGTACCACGAGAATATCCGGCATTGCGTGCAGAATGAAGTTGTCATCTACGTCGCCATAATCTTGGATAAATATTTGCCTCGTATTTAACGTAGAGAACGACCAACTCTCGTGCAATCATAACATCATAATGTGGCAGGGGATTAAGATGTGTGCAAAGTATGTATGAGGGTGTATAAGAACCGTTTATCTCGCTGCCATATACCGCGGGCGATAAGTTTTATAATTTGGTTAAAAATAGAGAATTTAAAGTCACTTTAACATTTTCACGATACACACCTATAATTCTATATTTCTTTTTGCATGTATTTTACTAGATGCATAAACAACATATATTTTAAACATAAGACCAGCATTATCGATAAAATCGAGGGAACAAAGCTTTCCCGGTAAAACAAATTACATGCACGAATTATAAATTAATACCAATTATATTGTTTTTGGTTATAAAGATATTGCCAAATTCATTGTACACTGTATTATCGGTATCAGATAGCATTTAATATTATACTGTAATAATTTATTATATTTGCCAAATAAAAGTTCGCCTCGGCAAACGAATAATATTTTGTTCCAGGCGTAATTGCATTTCAACAGTCGAGGCCGATGGAAACCTTTTAATTACGAGAGATACTATGCGAACCAGTTCCAACGCTGCAATTGCGTTATCTTTTATTCAAATAAAGAAAGTTTTATTTCTTTGCAGTTGTTTATATTTAAACAAATATATATACCGCATTTGAAAAATACATGACGAATATTCGCAGTGAAGAATACTAATTCGCATAATAATATAATTACAAATTATACCTTCTTTTCCTAATACCATTATTTGTTACAATAAACCTATTGTTTAATTTATATTATCAATTTGACGGTGTATCACATTTAAACGACGAGTTGGTCGATGAGCAATTAAATTGCTCATTGGGTTACAAAACGTTCCGTTAACGTTGACAATATACCTGTGGTATATCGAGTTTGCGAAATGGGTTAAGTGCACGGGCGACCCGTTTCATTCGCCTGATATAAAAACAATTAAATCGCCCTCATCGCTTGCGTTCGCACGTAAAAATTTCGAGGGAAAAAATTGATATTCCGAAACATCTAGCTACATCGCGCTACGCGATGGACGTGGGAGCCCCCCAGACGATGAGAATCGAAATTTCAATGTTCAATCAGACTGCAAATGTACCCGACTGAAATTTCGTTAAGCCTCGACGTGCGTCGTCAGCCAATTATATAGTTCGGATTAAAAACTTGTTACACCGACGCGACGCGACGTAACAATCGACGGATCGAGCCAATTCGCTCGTTTCGCCGATCGGACGTGAAGATTTCTTCTGTCTTTCATCTCGTATCGCATTCGGGTTAACATTCACCGCACGTCGGCGTCGTATCGATTCATAAGGGCCAAAGCACATAACATGGCGTAGCGATATACGACGGTCGTAGACCCCGACCTGACAGATCAGGATACGCCAAAGCTTGTGCGTTACTTACGTCCACGACTACGACTGTCATATGTGCTTTGGCCCTAACGCGTATTACGTTGTACGTATGTACGTACGTATCCGCGAACGCACGTAGTTTTATCTTTGCATGTCGATCGCATCAACGGAGACAACGAAGTCCCTGGAAACGTAAAATAATCGAGCGGACAGTTTACATCATGGAGGGAGAAATACGCGAAGCAAATGCGGAAAGAATGACAGGAAATGAAAAGTTTCAGGAGGTCGATACCGAGCGGGAATACAGATACGATGACTATTTCGAAGTGGGACAATCTCTCAGCTCAGGGGAAGAAGAACCTTGCGAGGAGAGGGAATGGGAAGAGGAAAAAAAACCGTGTAGGTTATAGTCACCGAGAGAAAATTTGACGTAATAACCATGATGAATATTTCACGATGTACATATTTTATATCAACGACGTGGGTATGCATGTTTCTTAAACCTATACCGGATGATATCTTGATGCACACGTCTATTTACTTCGGTATTCTCCGACAGGAACTAAAGTTAAAATAACACTAAATACGAAAACTGTGAGGCATTGTGCGGTGTATTCTTTTGGATTTGCATATAACAAAAAGATTTTGTTTTGTCAACTCGAAAACAAATATCCTTTAAATTGAAATACGCTCTGTTGTTGAAATACAACGCGCTGCATTCGAAGGAACAACATCGATAACGTTGAATGTAGAAATATTGAAACTTTGTAACGAATGGGTTAAAATTATGTACCGAACGAAGATCGATGATGCATACGGGATATACGCGTGTCGGGTGGAAGTACGCACTGTGTTAACAATGAAACGTAAACTTAGCCGAGCGTAAATACGTTCAAATATGAATGACGCGATTTAAAGCAGCGAGTTGGCAGAAATAATGAAAGAGATTATTGATTTTGGTTTGTTAAAATGTGAATCGTGCGAATCTGATAAATATATTGATTGATGTATTTAAATAACCTATTAAAATAAACTGGCTCAATATCTTTATTATTTTAATCAATCTACCATTTTGAAGTTTATTAGTCAAAAAGTTCTTAATATCTCGTTATACGACAACACAATTTATTTATTTAATAAATAAAACCCTGCTGTATTTTATCGTAAAAACTGGAATTACGTTTTTCATAATTTTTTTTATTTTTGAAAAATTACTCGTGAGTTACTTTATCTGTCTTATTATTCTGTCAGCTACACAAGATTGGGAAAAAGAGGCGAAGAAGAAAATCCGTATAGAAATGGATGATCCATCAATGCGAAGACGGAGAACTATCTATGATCTCAACTCTTACGCTTCTTCTCGACCGTCAGTAAGCGACATTTGGAAATTTAACACGACGCAGATAACCGCGGAGCCATCGAAGAAAATTCGATATTCCGCGTCGATGGTGAATATTTCAACATGCCAGCGGTTTATTCTATTTTCAAAACTTCGAGGTTATTGAATTGTTCAAACGTAAGACTTTAAAGGAATTCAACGGAAGTATATCTGAATAAGAATTAAGCCTGAATAAAAAAATTGTCATTAGTCTAATATATCGGCATTTATATCGAGTAATTTTAATTTCTACAATATTTCTGTAAAAGAGACATCTCTTTCAGAGAAAAAAGAAAAATATATTGATTTAATCTTAGGGAATACCGGGAATAGCGAGACTCGATCTGTCGCCGCTGACACAAAAGATCGTCGGGTGCATCATTGGCGAGGACGTTACCGCGGAATATCCATGGGTGCACGTTAGGAAGGATGTTATAGAGGATAATATAGATTTACATTCTGAGAGCAGCGACTTCCTGCCGGTGAAGGACGAGATTCACGCATTTCCTGATGAAAAGGTTTTCATCGGCTACGCACCGTCCCTGTCCGAAGAGGGCCAATTCTACATTGTCCTCACCGAGGAGGCTAGAGACGCTATAGTGAAGCACATACAGGAGCAAAGGGAGGATCACGAAAATCGCGTAAGGAACGCGATCTACAAATCTCCTGGCCGATGGCACGACTTGGGAAGCGGTGCCGTGGTCGATGCCAACGTCGTCAAAGACACAAGGCCATTATTCGAAATTGAGGTTTGCATTAAAGAATCATAGTCCGATTCGTTAAAGAGTCATAGTTCTGGTTTTCGGTGTTAAAAGTTACAGTTGCGGTTTGTTATAACATCAAAAAATCATAGTCTGGTTAACCTTTCATCACTTTCAATTAATTGAGATTGATATAATGTGCAAAAAATAATATCCTAATAAATAATTAGAAGATTTAATGCAATAATATCTAATTTAATATCTTAAGAACTTTTTTTTGAGAGAGAGAGAGAGGCGAAATTAATCTTAAACTTTGTAGAAATTAAACTTAAACTAATCTTTTAGTAAAAGAAGTAGATGCAAAATACTACACTAAATTCTTCAGTTGTTAATAAACATTATATGGATGGGACATGTTACATATCGCATTCCTGACTCGAGTGTTCTCTCGTAGCTTTCGTCGAACGACGTCGAAGCGACTTTTCACTCCGCCGTCGTCGAAACTTTTCGGTCGCGACTTGCATATCTATTCGAGCGAGTCCATATTTACATTCGAGCAACATAGTCCGTAAATTTTTGAAAATTTTTATTACATTTCGACAGCGCGCATTACCAGCGCATAAACTCGCGCGTGTGCGAGAGTGGAAATTGATAGTTTGCATTCGTTAATTCTAAGCCGCAGTATTAAACTGATTATCGTAAATTACTACTATAATTCTGCCTCTATAAATATACTAATCTCGGCGAATCGACAATAATATCGTAGCGGCATTCACAAATCACAATAAATAAATTAATCACTTTATCCTGATTTCGATCGGGCAAGAAGCAGTTTATAAATCTCGCGATCGTTTAATCGTATTTGCGAGAGGTATGTGATATGTACAGCCCAGCCCACACCGTTTATGATGTACCGAACGATCATATCTTTCGCATTTAATTACAATCAGGTTACATCTACCGCCGATTTGCTGAACGTGCCGATAAATCTAACGGACAGAAAGGCGGACGATCAGAGGGACGGATATATCGAGCTGCTACCGGATAACCGGCAAATATTTGAGAATGTACGGCGTAAATTGGTAAGCAGCTATACGCAAGTGACGCCGATCGTTCGACACAACGAGGCGCAAACGGCGCCATCGATACCTGTCAATTCCTGGTACCAATATCTGTACGAATACGAGACAGTCGATTTGTCTACTTACACCGAGGAAAAGATAGAGTCCTTGAAGGATTTCTTGGAACGTTACACCGGCAAAATGTGCGATCAGGTAATGTTACAAATTTATTGATTTTTACAATACTTTAAATAATAAAATATAAGTGTAATTGGGATATAATATATATCTTATCTTAATTTAATTATGAGCTAGACTAATTATTAAAATATTTAATTTCTTTTAAGACACGAGCTTAATGGATATAGCAAATACTTCTAATTTATTTACTGTCACAGATTTTAATGAACTCCACGTGGGATATATATACAAATGATTATGCAAATCTGGTGCTTAATGAAAAGGATACGCAGGCACCGGTGCCCATAGGTTATAAAGAACATCAGAGCTACTACGACGGAAAGCTCATTGCAGACAAAGTTATCAACGATCTCAGCTGGCATCCATTCTGGACCGGAACGGCGATAGCTACTTACACGCAACATGGGAAAGGGGAGCATCTAATAGGTCCTAAAACTTACGACGAGGTTTGGCATTACCCTGCAAATTACTTCTAAAAATTATATTTATTTTGTTCGTGAGGTTGATCTAAATTAATATTGAAGAACATTTTATCATTAATGCGGAACCAGCAAAACGTTTTTTTTTTATTTACGTAAATACACGCGCGTAATAAAATTATTATAATTTAATATATATAGTTTAAATCGTATTTCTTATAAATAGGTATTTTTAGCTTGTGAAGGCAACAATCGCGTCCTCATATGGTCCTTCACTGACTGTTTGTCACCTAAACTCATCCTCGAATGTCCAAGAGAAGTAACATCCGTTTCCGTCTGCCCTCTCGATAGCAGCATCATCATAGGTGGCTGTACAAATGGCCAGGTGATAAAAATAAATTCTATTTTTCCCACTTCAGCATACGTTTTCTTTTTTGTTGTCGTAGAATTAAGAAAAAAAACAGGAATTGTGAGATAATTCGACAGTAAAAGCGGATATGAATATTTTCCTCATTTTACAGACAAACGGCAATCCACCAATGTCGATTAACCCGTTACTGCCGATCCCCCGCGATACACCCCAATGCATTTGCGTTCGCTCGACACGTCATACCCGCGAATGAATAACGCGACACGCGCGTTATTCGTAAACAAATTCTTCCGACGGACGTTCAATCCAAATGGAACACGATCGATATCAATCACGTATATCGAAAAACACATCGCGTGGATCTACCTGGGTACTACCCCCGACTTGTCACCGCGTGCAGAGTTTCGGACGTGAAAATTCGAAAAGTGCCGAGCATCGACAATCATGGCAAACGCGAACAACGAACGCAACGTATGCAAGCGAATATCGTATGCAAGCGGGATCACCTGTCTCCATTAATCCATCGCTACGATCCTCCCACCGCTCCTCTCGATGTTCCACAATGTTCTAGATATCAGATGACACCCGGGACACGCGTTTGATCGGGCAATCGAATATCGTGAAACACGTGTATTAGAAAACGTCGCCAGACGACGAACACGAGTATCGGGAAATGCGCTTATCCCGGTTTCAAAAGTCAAAAGAAGTCAAGTCAAAAGAAACGGTGAAAATGTCAAACTTTTCATATATTTTTTTTAATAGATTGTTTCCTGCACATTTTCGAGCTATATAAAGTAATTCTTGGATATGTTTAAATACCTAAAAAAAAAAGAGCTTGAACACGTAGTCTTCGCGTGAATCAAAATAGTTAATGCGATACAATAGTCATCTGCGATCGTCCAAATATCGAAAAAGATTTTTTTGATTATGCAGTATTTAATTATGCATATTATTAAATTCTTTATACTACTATTTATGCTCTCAGTATTCGTTCTGACTTTAATCCATAAAGATTTATATCAAAAATTTAAATAAATGAAACTAAAAGCACAAAATTGTGCATTCTAATATAAATATAAACTAAAGTACACGCTGCAACTATAAAATGTTAATAAAAATAAAAATAAATATTAACAAAAACGACAAAAAGTGACAAACGGTTTCGAAATTAGGTTATATGACTAGTTTTATTTAGCGTTTTTCTGCGACGTACGGCATTTATTAAAATATTAATAAGAATACTAAAATAAGATTAAAATAGATTATAATAAAACATTACATCGCATTCGAGATATTCTTCTTTAATAATGCGAAGAACACAAAAATAACAGTGCAGAGTTCGACTTACTAGTCGAGACACTTCTATTATTAAAGAAAATAAAATTTAACTTCTTTTATTATAAAAAAATATCAATTTTTATTGAATTTATTAGCGAATATTATTTTATATTCCTATTTCTTATCAACGCTCTACTATTTTAATTAAAAACTCTGTGCGCATCTTGTTAATTGCCTGACACTACTTGCGAGCTCAAATTAGCAAATTTTATACGAGAAGAAACGTCTCCGAAAACGTACGGGAAAACATCCTCTTACAAGCTGCGACCGTGAAACGTAAAAGTCTAGGCTGTAGTGAAACGAGACGAGGGGCGGACAAGCGGATGACGATAAAATCCATCCATATCCTTCCCGTAGATCGCCATCTGGCACATTCCTGGCAAAATCGAGCAGGTGGAGACGGTGGTGGCGCAGACGGGCGCCCAAGTGAAGTACAGCATCGCGATGAGGAGCTTGATGACATGGATGCGCGAGACGACGGCAACGTCGTTGATCAGTCCGGCGGCAATGTCCGCCCTGAAGTACAGCCAGAAGGCGGGCATCACCCAGATAGTCTGGGTGCCCTCACATCACAAGGTCGACAAAAACGGTCGGATCTCGTCTTTGCCGGAAGACGCGCCCCTGGACAATCTAAGCTATCAGTTCGTAACCGCCAGCCAGGATGGCACGGTCGCCTTTTGGGATCTTAAGTAAGCATCGCCTTTGTCTATTGACTTTAACACGTTTATTATTTAACAGATGCTATTTATAGTTCTTAGATGTAATGTTTTTAGTTTTGAACAAGTCTTAATTTACCGATGAGAATAGTGCTTTTTGTATTCAAGAGCAATGCGTGATGAAATAATGTTTAAAAATAAAATAGGACGATTTTTTCAATCAACAGAAATAATTGGAAAAAATGGGGTGTAAAACGCATTTTGAGTAAATATGATCGACATCTTTATAATAAAGATATCAAGCACATGATTCTACCACGCTTGCAACAAGTTTACTTGAGAATTTAAGAAAGAGACTTTAAATCTTTAAAAGAGAAAAACTTCCTATATGTATTACTTTTTGTCCCTAAGTAAAATTTTACATTGCGGATTTAGCATTATCAACGGTCCTGTGAGAATCAGAAGAAGGATATTGATATTTCTGTCGCGTTACTCCATCGGTTAAGAATTAAACGTTAAGGAACTAAACGACGTGACCGTCGCGGAGTCGCATCGAATCAATGTCTCGATTCGGACGAATTTTCCTATGAAACTACGACGCCATTCGACTCGCAAGAGTAAGAAATAGAATATTCAAGAGATCCCAACGTATAGTCAGAGAGGATCCGTTTTCTTTATCTTTCAATTTCGCGACACCCGACATCGTCGTCCAGCGAAAACGTCACGTCGTTTTTCTTAAAAATGCCAAGAGCAACTCGAACGGCTGGCGCATGACGCGGCCTCCGGTCGATCTCAACCAGCAATTGGTAACCACGAGAAAGGTAGACGGTGCCGTCGTATCTCCCGAGACATGGAAGTTAGCGACTTCGAATGTTCGACGGGCGCGAAACTTGTCGCAAGCGAAACGTTAAAGAGCGAGCACCGTCTCTTGCCTTTCGAGTCCTCCTTTCCGGACGCGGGACGACGAACCGCCTTCCGCTTCCTCCCCCCCCCCGTCTCCTCGCCGTCATCCTTCTCGAGAAACTCTCTCGGTCTGCGGAACCGTAATGGTCCTGCGACTTGACTCTCCGTCGCTCCTCGATTCTCCGAAGTTGGCGTTTATATGGTCCGAAAATGGATAGACCATCCCTCTATAATCGTCGATCGGTATTCAGTCCTCGCTCCTAACCCTTCCCCGCCGTCCCTTACCGTCCAGAGTAGTCCTCCGGACCTGCTAACTCCCAAGCTCCTTGGCCTCGTCGATCTCTGTGCGCGCCCAGTGGGGTGCAAGGGAGAAAGCGCTCTTCATTTTGGCTGTGCCACAATGGCTATGTAGATGCTCCAATACCAGTGAATTGTTTCCTCACTTGATACGAAATTGGTGCGATATTTACGAGATTACATCCTATTCTGCGCCGAGAGAAAGGAGCGTATTTGCGCGAAACTGCACCGGTAGAGATCAATTTCCGCAGACAAAAGATTAATAAAAATCTTATAATGGATTTGGAGTTATTAGTAACCATCGATCATCAAAATTCTATTTTTTCTTTATGCAAGATATTTAAATCAATGAAAACACATCGCGTAAAATAATCTTCTAATAATCTATTTTTATTTTAACGTTATTTCGTTATTATTAACGAGATAACGTAAGATACATCTTTTTTTATCTCTGACGTTGGTACGAAAGATCGCAACCCTCGGAGAAGGACATTCGACAAGTTCGTAGACGGAAGAAGATTCGTCCAGATATTTCGAAATCCATGGCGCAGCCGGCGTCGCCCTTCAAGATCCTCGATCGCATGTTCAAGCCCGACTATATCCTCGTGATTCAATATCCGGACGAGAGCCGGCAACTCGTGATAACGACTCTCAGCATGTACAATCCAAAGTTTCGCAAGGAACAAGTCGAACCGTTCCCGGTGGCGAGAGACGACCTCACAATTAGAAAGTACTACAAACCTATAATCGAGAAGGCGAACTACGTCATGGAGCCGAAGATGCTCGTCGGAACCGTCGAAGGTAAGACGACTTGTATAACGTTTTCCCGCGACTCAATTTCCGACCGTTGACGTCTACGGGACTGAGACACGGCACGATTACATCCCGAGTTCATTAATGTTAATGCAATTCAGATGCGCGCGATTAAACACAATTAATTATACTTAAATCCCCTTGAATAAGATTGATCTAATTTAATATCAACGGCGTAAAGTGGATTAAAGCGTAAACGACGGCAACAGGTGATTTCGGGTGCATAACGTGGACCGGCTACGAATTCGCCACCGACGTAAGCGTGAATCGCGAGACGGCACGTTGGCTCTGGATGAAGAGGCTGCACGACGGACCGGTTACGCACTCGGTCAGATCCAATTATTACCATCAGGTAGTGGTCACGATAGGCGGGAAGATCTTCGCCGTATGGAGGGACGATTTTGGCGAGCCGCTCGTTTGGAAGAAGTCCAACGTCGGGTGAGTGGAAAAAATCGCGCGCGGGACTATTGTCCGACTAGAGCAAACTGAACTTTCCCTCCTGCGTCATAAATAAACGCCGGGAGCTAAGTGATTCTCCCGCGGAAAGGAGAGAATGGCGGAGGAGATAAAAAGAGAGGAAGCGACGAAGAGCTGTTCGCGTTGAAATAACCGCGGACGAGCGAGATCGCGGGAATTGCGCGCTGAGAAATTACTCCTCGAGGAGAAACGTCAATATCGCGAGAGTTAACGAAACATGGTCATGAATATACATAAACGCGGCAGTACGCGCGGTTCGTTCGCGTTTCATTGGAAATAAAAATAACGAGCGAGGCCGCGCGATAAATTGCCGCGGTGTACAGCATGTAATTGCGACGATAGCGTTTCTCATTGCCCGGCGCACACGAGCGCCGATGACCGTTCGCACGCTCGCTCGCGTTTCACGCGCCGCGCATAGTTTTCGAACGGCGAGAGTCGAACTTTCGGTATGATCTGCATGACAATACGATCATAACTTACATTTACAGCACCCGCGTGCTGTTACTACTCCGTTAATGAAAGCTATTTCCAATGTATGGCCGCGCGCGGTCGGTCCGCCGCAACAGTCATTATCGAGCGTTGTCGAGCCGATGCTCTCGCGATTCGAGCACTCGACAAACGGTCCATTCTGTCTCATTAACTCTATATATTTTTATTGATTTTGAAGAGAAAGAGAGAGAGCAACGCATATCTTGCATTTAAAATTATCTCCAAAATCAACTCTTTAGTATTGTGTGACATTGACAATTAATAAAACCGCTGTATAATTAACGTACAAAGACAGAAAGCAACATCGGATTAATGCTGATCACTTTTAGATCATCGATCTACTTTTCCTGCTATACTTTTTTTTATTAAACACAGATACTCGGCGTGCTCGTGGGGAATTATACGTCCGACCGTTTTGATCTTGGGACGAATGGACGGCACCGTAGAAATTTGGGATCTCATAGTAAAGAGTCACGAGCCGAGCTTCGTGCAGAGTCTATCCGGACGGATAATTACGGGTATCTACACGCACGAGCTACCGCTGGAGCCGCAGTGTATCGGATTTTGCGATTTCAACGGCTCTTTAAGGACGTTCACGGCGCCGCGTGTCTTACTGACGTACGACGTAGGCGACGTCGAGTGGATGAAAAAGTTCATCGACCGACAGGTTCAAAGGGTGAGATAAAAAGAGACGCGACAGCGATAGATCGAGAGCGATATCGATTAGACGTCTAAACGAAGTAACTCGAAATTTATGTTCCGGAAGGCAAATATGTCTTTATTAGACGAAAATAAATTGCATTATATATTTAGAACAGTAAAGACAATAATCATGCTTGTTATCAGTCTAATTATTTCGTTGCAACAAAATGTTTTGGAATAATTAGCCGAATTTTCACACGCATTCGCTTCGTAAAATTTTCTTTTTCCATAAGACGAAAATATACCAAAACTTAATAGGAGTCGTGTTCGTAAAAAAGATCCTCTCTCTTCATTTTTATAGTAATTCATCGTAATTTTACTACTAACGGTAATAAAAATTTCTTCATTCCTTCTATCTATAACGATTGCCTATTTCCGCATATGACTAGATAAGCGAGTTTCAAGCCTGGCAGGAAATGTGGCGCGAAACAAATCTCGAGGATATCGAGATGAAGAAGAAGCTCGGTAAAATGGAGGGGGAGAAAAAGCGCTTGGAGGCCGAGGAGAAGATTAAAGCTGACACGGTCGAAGCGGCAGGTCGCGCGACTACACCTACGAGATCCGCGGTACGACCACTCTGATATTCCACATCGATAAATAATTCAATGATTTTCATTCAATTCGTAGCCACGCTTCGGTCGGCAATTCGCACTACGCGGATAACCGCACCCGAACGAGTCGAACGATTATATAGTCACGTAAATAATGGCAAATTCCCGGTTCAGTCGCCGGGCACATCTCGCGCTGAGAAGAAAACCGATCTCCCTTTTTCTGCTAAGTTAATTTCGTGCTATTCACAGCGTCGGAAACCCTGGCAGTTCCTCGAAGAAGCCAAGGAACGGTGGATGTCAATGGAAGTAAAGCGCATGCAACGACTGATCCTGGAGAAAAAGGGGCTCAGAAAAGATGTCCTCGAGAGGCAGCGCGAGCCGATTCTCAGGTTGCGGCAGGAGGCGAGGGCAAAAAAGCGTAAGATACGCGAGATCCTGAATCTGCAGGACAAAATCTTTGAGGAAACCGTCGTGTACCTCTTCCCGGAGCAGCAGCGGCAGGAGCGCAGAGAAACTTTGTTGCCGCCTTTGCCAGTCTCTGCGGCCGACAGACGCTTAACGATCGACGAGTTCATTAAGAAGGAAACCGCTCCTCGAAAAGAAGTACGTCAAGGGAATCAATTAATCTTACTGCAATCCTTTGCAAATAATTAGTACAGTATCGTAATATAAAAAGCATATACGCTCGAATAAAAACATCACGATGGAAAGTGATAAAATATCGATATAATCGCGCACGGACGATTAAAATTGTAATAAAATTTTAGAGACTATTTAAAATAATAATGTTCTTTAACTGCTGAGTCTTGTTTATAGATGTATATTTCATTTGTTTAAAATGGAAAATAAACGGTACAAAGAAAAGTATTTTAATCTCACATCCATATCGTCAATGTTTCTTACGTGTATAAAAGAAAAATTTATAATATATTTTTTCTAGACTTTTATCTCTTACGTAAAAATTGCACGTATCAAAATGTTTATCTCCATCAGATACAAAGTATGCCAATGACATTAGATACTAATTATTCTCTCTGTTAAAAGGGCGTTTTTGCCGATCCTGAGGAAGAAATTATATACAATTTTCTGGAGGTGCAAGCCGAGGCTCTGGCCAAATTAAAGAGCACGCCTTTCGAACGCACGTTCGACTGGCGCAAAGTACTTGCGCAAGGGAAGTCAAGGAGAAGATCGATGGACATCGAACTCAAGAAGTTAAACAGGCCGAAGAAGACGTGCAAAGTGGACGGTGCCGTAAACGATGCATCACGTCTTGCCTGCAACGTATAAAACATGTACAAAGATACATCTCTATTTTACATTTTGACTTGTGTTTTTCTATTTCTGAGATACCAGATTTATATAACTCAGATTTATGTAGACAATTTTGCTCATTAGCTTTGCGAAAAGAAAAGAATTTGCTGCAAATTAATTTGATATGCTAAACCACACCACACAGCGAGTTCTGTACCAATTTATTTTTGAGTTAGCCAAAGGTTCGAATGCGCGACAACAATTTCGATAAGTTTAGATAATTACATATGTTGTATCATAATACTGTAATGTTATTTCACGAATTTTCAGTCGTGGCTTAATATATTTCAGAGCTATAACCATGTCTCTCTGCCTTTGACTTTGAAATTACATCCATAATTTTGATTGCACTTCTGATAATGCATGGCCTAACGTAATAACGCTGTTGGAAAATGAAACTACGTGCCTTCGCGCGCAGTGTCATATAAGTTTACTCTTAGAGGTTCATCCTTTTAATTCCTTTAATCAGAACCGTACTACTCGCGGCTGTAATGGCCACCTTTGAAACAAGTAAACCCCAGGGTCCGCAAATATAACCTGATTTTATAAGTTTACCGAATGGTATAAAAGCACTATAAGGAAAGAACAAGGTATTCTCGGCCAATTCTCTTATCGCTATATCTGAAGAAAGGGGAATGCGTTTATATGTATATATATATACTTTCGGATGTCGCAGGATCTAATGTGCACGTCATCAAGGTAATTGAATATGTCGATAAACAGGAGATGTACATGACAGCAAAGGAAATGGAACGTCTGGATGAGATAGGGGGATAGAATATTTCCGTCAACATTCACAGATCTTGCATTAGATTGTTACACATGGAAATTCAACTCTATATTATATCATAGATCTTAAAACAGTTTTAGTGAAAGAAATTCTAAATGAGTTTAATTATTGCAAATTTTACGTACTCTACATTTACATTTTTATTTATAACGATCTATAATAACACTTATACACTGCAATGAGCATGAAGTAATTACAGTAATGAGACGTCGCGTGAGTAAAAGGAAGAAGATATGGCAGTTAAGGGAGACTGACGATCTTCGCTTCGGCGATAAAAGTGACGCAAAGGAATGCCTGGATGCAGAGAAGACGAAAGGATGGAAGGTAGGTTGGTAGATAGGTCGGCAGCACTCAACGATTTTTCATAATTAAAGCGGATTAAAACTCGGCAGCGGGACCGTAAATGAATTTGAAATTTCAAACTAGGTGCGCTCTTTTCTCCGCTTATCCGTCGCGCCCCGCTTTCCTTTTGTCATTCTTTCCCGTCGTAAACGGATCTGCGAGGGACCGTGACCACCGGCGCAACTTGCATAACGGGTTTACCTGCTTTTATTTCCCCGGCGTAACACACTTCTCCGATTTAATTTACTGCGATGTCCATTTTTTTGGCACGAATGATACTTTTCACATCCAAATCGAGATATAGGGATACTTTCGCGGTACCTTCAAAAATTATTTAAGAATTGTCGGAATTGGAGAGTTAATCATTATAAAAGCATAGAATGTGCTCTAAAAATAATATCTATAATTGCGGACGGAATAAACTCCCATACTGTGTAAAAGCTTACATTTCTATTGTTCAAATAAAAGTTGGCATAGATGTGTTTGTACAAATTGTAAAAAGTAATCTCGGATAAAAAAACTTTGCAATATTTTTTTCAATATTTTCTCTCGCATTTATTTTCTGTATTTGTATCGTTACGTAAGATAGCCGGGTTTAGTAGCAGAACAATCTATGTGTTTGAAACGTTGCAGTGACGAGTATGAGAAGAATGAAAGCGATTTTCGACAGAGGTTGAAAAAAATTTTGTACAGTGAGGACGAGTTGTAATTATTCGAAATAGCGTCGCTTTGTTCTGATCCGCAAGTCAGACGTCGCGCAATGTCGACTCTCATTTCGCCGACCCTTCTACCGTTGGAAGGTGAGGTTGCACGTGCTTCCCTAATGGCGTTAATGAATATAAAAATTACGCCGCGGGTGAAAAACAGGGAGGAAACAAAAGGGCCCTGACCCTACAGGAAATAAAAGGATTTTCTTCCACTTACAATCATGCAACTTCACGAATAGATTAATAATTAATAAATTAATTAACAAAAAATAATTAGGTATCATCCAGTTTGAAGCATGTTTGAAGCATATTGCCGTTTAATTTTAGACGCACGTATAAATATTTAAAAGTTATATTTGTTTATTATCTTCAACGTGCAAGCAAATAATGAGACTCTTCTAATTTACTTTTTTGTGAACTCTATATAATACTCGGGAATTTGTTACGACCTATGCGCGAGTTTCTCTCGACTGCTTTTACCAGACGAAGGTGAGAAAAGCTAGGAGGACGGAAAGAACGGACGCGAATCAAGAGAATAGGTTAATAAATAGCAACGGATTATTACCGAAATGTAGGAGCCGGAAAACGGCTGCTGCCGCGCGCGCAGCAAGTTTCCGAAACTATCCGCACGACCTTCTGCAACTGACTGTCGCCTTATTGCCTAAGTTTCGGAACATCCCAGAGGGTGGGTCACGTTCGTTCTTGCGTACAAGTGTTTCTCTATTTTTCTCGCGACACAGCCCCTCTCTCTCTCTCTCTCCTTGCCTGCCCGCTTCCTTTTTGGAATTCGCTTTGTCCTGAACGATCAAAGTTTCCTCGGGCCGGTCATGAACAGTATGCGCCGTGCGGGACGATCGTTTTCGCAACTTTTCTCCCGCGTCGCTTCCTTCCGCCGAGCACTCGGCCAGTTTATCCAACTGAAAATCATCGGCGATGCGGAACATTCGGCATTAGTTCGAATCTCACGTTCGTATAATCCATTGCGCGGTTAAACAACCGGATATACGATATTCTATGGCATACAGAAGAGAAAATCGAGGAAGAATTGGCAAGAAAAGATAGCTCCGTGTATGTGCCAGTAAAACTTGTTCCGTTACAACGATCAGTGCGACGTATGCAACTGAATGCGATGATGAATTGGCCCATGCATCACTCTTGGATCGAATTACGTAAGAAAATACATCTGCTCCATTTCTTCGAGTGTCACGCTACTTGTCCACTTACGCGCGTTACATATTTCTATTACAGCGGGCTCACGTGTGTCCGTAGAAATATTTCTGAATTTTGGGATAAAATTTTAATAATGTTAAATGTGTCATATAATTATAACATGATCTTTAAAATTTTAATCATTCTACAAAAATTCTTCGCTGCCCTGAGAGAGAATTGACTTTTAAGCTCGTTAAAAAATCCATTGTGGAAATATTTTACTATCTTAATTTTATAATATTATTACAAATGTAATATTTTTGTGTGGGTATGAAAGATCCAACATATCGATTTTGAAAGACGAATTACTCAACGTAGCGCGATGGTTTCGAAGAAAAAATTATTTTAATCGAAATAAAAAAAAGCGCTTTCTTCTGTCGTGATATCGATGCTGACAGCGCGACGGCACTTTTGATTCTCTGCCAATTAATCTCTCTCGAATCCATGAATTAGTCCCGGTTCGGAACCACAACTGTCCGTGGATGGGTGCGTGCAAGAGGAGGCTTTTCGGCGATACTGTCGCTTCGACGTTGGTCCGCGCGAGTGATAACGAGGCTCGTAAAATTGCTACGGTGAACGATGGGCACGTCGATTATTGACGCATCTGGGATTTGCCTGATACCAAAATCCGGTGTAAAAACCGTCGATCGTTCTGTTCACTTCGTCCGGCATTTACTCCGACGGATCAATTTTTAACGACACTCTCCGCGAATCGGTAACGCGGGACGTATCATCACAAGGAAAAAGAGTATGTATATCGTCGATCGCGCCAAAAATTGCATTGATTTTTTTCTCCGATATTTCGCCGATCTCTACTGCAACAATTGAAATTTCCCGCGAAAATATTGTGGAAGCATCCTTGCAAAAAAGTCGCAATACGACTTTTTGTTGGCCCTTAACAAATATATGCTTGTTATAGCGTTAAATTTTATTTATAGATAAGTAAATAAAATAGAAGATAATAGAATAGAAGTAAATAAAAAGAGAAGTGTTTAATTATATCTCAATTGAAGGAGAATTATCATCACTATACATTTTCTTATTCTTGTGACACACTAAATCGTGGTTTTATTACTCAATAAATTATAACGATAATCTATTTTTTTGCCAACCTTTTTATAGTTAATCAGCCCAGAAAAAGTATGATTGATTATTAAATATATGTGCTAAATACGCAATATTTTAAATTATGTCACACTTATTAAATTTAAGACAGCATGCTAAAAATACGAATCTTTCTTTTTGGCTCGTGTTATTACATTATTAGAAATGCTATTTTACATGAATATTTTGAACTAAAACTGACGAACTTATTTTGGGAGGATCAGATTGTGGCTTGAATGTTTCTGCACGGCGCGGCGTCGACATAGAAGCTCGGTATTAACCTTGGCGTCGTCGTCACCTCGTCTGGATCATTAACATTTCACACGTATCGTAGCAGCAATTAACTCCCCAAACGAGCTCTATAATTAATGAAGAGGGATGAAGGAATTGTACTGGTTCACTCCTCCGCGCAATCGACCATGGAAAAGAGCTCGGTCACACCCTTCTAGCGGCGGATTTCCATGATTCTCTTAAATACAATCAGTCTGCACATTTGTCTTGCGCTTGACAACGCGAAGCGGATTGTTGCCGGGATAAATTATTAACTCATTCAATAACTATATTGCTGCATGTGAGTTACTGCGTTTAACCAATTGTATCAAGGAAATTACATGCAATGCTAATAAAAGAATGAAAATAACAACATATTTTTTAAAAGAAAATTGCATATTTGCTATAATATAAATGTATATGTATATATACATATTTATATCAGATGTGCAATATTCAAATAAAATGCGATTTGTTGAAATTATTTTTAAAAAATTAAAGGTTGCAATGTTTTTACACGCAACACGCGAATGTATATATTACGTCATGTTGAG